AAAGGTTTAGATTTCATATTTTTAATTACCCTTGTACTTATTTTATTTTGGATGAAAACTTCCACGAATTTACTTTATAAAATAACATTGCAATAAACTCATACAAAAAAAAACAAACTCCTAACCCCAACTTGTAGAACTGGAAGTTGGAATATTGTGGCACCAAAAATAAAACTGATGGAACAAAAAGGGAATTTCATGTGGTTTTCATTGTCAAGTCTAAGCTCAGAAACAAACAGGAAATAAAAATGGCTAAAACAAAAGAGATTTCTTTTAAAGTGTGTTCAAGTCTGAGCGGGGAGCTGCTTTATTTGGGAGGGATTCTCTGTTTATTTGTTTTTGAGAAAGAGGAGTAAATAAAAATGTCCATACACAGACAGGTCAATTTGATTTACAGTTGTATCTGCATGCTTCTCACTGGGCATTTTTAATAAGCTTTTTTTTTTTAAGGAAAATACTTGCATAAATAGCAGCAGCATTAGAAGGGGAAGAAAAGACAATGGGAGGAGGGTGTTCCTTCTTCTTGAGATGAGGTTGGGAGAAAAAGGAACGAAGAGGGAGAAAGGTGAAAGTAACTGCAAACTGTCCGGTCATTTGTCCTATTTCATCTTTGTACTTTCTCATTTTCTGCAGGCAGCTCTGCAGGCACTGAGCCTTCCAGCCCATGCCACCCCACTGAACCTCCCCAAGTAGCAAATAAATTCATTGATATAATAAGAGTGGTCTGCAGGATCAGGGCTACATGGAATAGAGCAGCATACATGCTGCACCCTGCAGAGAAAAGTGTTTCTTAGCTTCCCAGATTTGGGATTGTGGAACTTGTCTTACATTAGATCTGATGGTGATTTTGAATGGTTAATTTAATGCAGGCAGGTTGCAGCTCCCCATATCAGCTGAGATCCCCAGCAGCTACAGACCCATTAGTGTGTCTCTGAACACTCTGAACAGTCAAAAACTCAGATGGACAAAATTAACAGCAGCTTCTGCAAATTCAGCTCTGGTTTCCCTCCTCTTTTGCACTAGTTAACTGGGTGTAAATGTTTATTTTCTGGTGGAGCTGTGGTTTGGGACATAGCAAAGAGCCTCAGATTGAGGGTCAAGGGACAGAGGTTGTATTTCTGGCTCAGAACAGGTAATTCTGACAGAGCCGTCCCTCCTGTGCACAACAGGAATACTTCTCTTGGTGCTTAAGCATACAGAGCTCTGCCTACAGGAAGGCTAGGTAGCTCCGGAGGAGAGATCATAAGGTGCAGCTCTTCAGAAATGAGGGCTCTGAGCTTGAACTTGCACCCTGCAAGGCAGCAGGAAATTTCCTGTTCAGTGTGCAGAGAACTGGCCCTCTTCCCGAATCTGCTGGGTAATACTCTGAAACTGGTGGGGAGGGAGGAGGAGGACCTCTCTTGCTTTCTCCCCATCTCTTTTTAAAGCCTAATAATAAGAGAAATGTTTCCCAGCTTCTGCCCAGCTATATCTCTTAGCTCCTGCCTGAAAACAACTTTCAATATTTAACTGTTGCTGGAAAACAGCAGATCCACCACTAACTATCCCATGCGAATCTGCATCCCTGGCCAGGCTGCTGTACCTGTCCTCCTCCGAGGTTGGGTGGAGACTGAGGATTTTTGAGCAAGTCCTTTCCTACAGAAGCAACCCACTCTGCACCAAGTCCAGCCCCATTCCTTGTGCTGCCAAGCCTCCAAGAACAGCCTGTGGACTCCCTTAAATGCCCCAAGGAAGCCCAGAGCTAATAACCAGCTTCATTCAATTCCCAGTCACATTATTATCCAATCTGCCAGAGGCATTAATATTCAGAGGTGAGGCGGCAGGAGGGCAGGGGTGCTGGCGAGGGGGAGCGGCACACAAAGGGGAGGAAGGGAGGCACGGCAGGCCGGCCTCAGAAATCCTCTTTCTCCAGCTGTCTGAAGCCCCAGCCCATTTCAGCCGGGTGTTGACAAGAGAGGGTTTTTTTATACAGCCTCAGCACTAACTCTGATGCCAGCTGGTGGTGGCTGTGCCCCTGCCAACAGCAAATGCCTGGGCTTGGCACAGCCTGATGCCCTTGGCCCCGGTAAGAGGGAGAGCTTTGCCCCCTCTGCCATCGGGCCCTAAGTAAATAGCAATCTCCCATTTTCAAACAGCCAGATAATCGCTGAGCCTGCTCAGAGAAGCCTGTTTCTGACCCCTCTCCCTCCACGGCCGGACAGCCTCATCCCGCTGCCTTCCCGACACAGAGCACACAGCATGAAAATACCAGCTCTCCCCATCTGGGACTTCGCTCCCAGCCCAGGTACCTCCCCTGTCCCCAGAGCTGGGGCACATGTCACGAGACAGATCTTATGTTCCCAGCTCATCTTCCTTTTGAAGCAGTCTCCTAGATTAGGTTTCTGGCTTTTCCTTTTTGGCAGTCTCTAAAGTCAGCCTCACCTCCCAGTCTCAAGGTTTTGGGTAGCATCTGACAGAGAGAGGAGATGCCACTCTTTTTTGTTAACTCTCCGTAGGGTACATTAACCAATACTTTTGCAATCCAGTCACAATTTGCAGATCTATTAATTGCCTGAATTAAGTCCTTATAGAAACATAATAGGTATAAAGTGAGGCAACAGTTTAACTGCCAGAGAGATATACCGGTTTATAAACCAGTGCCTTGGAACAGGAAACAACTCGGGAATATAGGGGGGCTTTCACGGGGGGGAGCCTGGGCTGCAGGTCATGCAAACCCAGTAACACCAGTAACAGCAGGAAAAACACCAGACTCAACCAAACCCCTCTCCGAGTGCTGGGGAAAGACACCTCCCTGTGAGGGCTCCCTGTGAGGAGCACCGGGCATGGTGTGACTGTTTGATAACGAAAAAAGAATCAAACCCTGCTCTGCTTCTGAAGACATTTGTGGAGACTGAAGCAGCTACCATGCTCTGCTGGTCCCCCAGGAGCCAGCAGACAGCGCTTTGTCCCTCACAGCAAAGCACAAACACCCATCCCTCTGCCTCACCAACAGGCTGAGGGGCTGGGAGAGATTTCAGGGAACCAGGAAGACCCTGATCCCATTGCCAAAAAGGGGGTCCTTTCGGGTCCTTTGGAAGGCAGGACAGGAACAGGGGTGACACTTCCGAAAGGCACCTTCCTGTGCTGTTGTTTTTAGCATCTCCCGAAATCGTGGAGGCAGTAGAGCCGTTTCATCCCTCGCATCCTCCAGGCCCCGCTCCAGGCGTGGAGGACCCACAAAGCTTCTCTGGGGATTGCCAAATTCCCCTCTTCGTCTTTAGCACTAGCCTCTACAAAAAAAAGTGCATGGATCATGGACCAATCCGTCCGAAGGCTGCCTCCTTCTACGGCAAGGGAACGGGGAGGCAGGTGAGGGACTGGCTTTGGTTCCTGCACCTCCGGCTTGCAGCACCAACCGGTGCCGCGGCTGGGGGCTCACACCGGGCTCTGCAGGACCCCAGGGCCCTGCAGTAGCGTGTCCTCTGCGGCCGTCCGTGCGCAGCCGAGTTCTGCACCACAATAACCCGCCGGCCGGGTGGGAAAGCTGTGCAGGGCCCCGGGAGCCTCGGCGGGGGCATGCTGCTCCGGGCTGCTCAGCCCCGCCGGGGAGGGGGAGGCTGCACCGGCGCCGGCAGCGCCTCTTCGGGGCCCTGGCGCTGACGGGGGGAAGCCATCCCCCTCCTAGCCCGTCCCCCCAGCTGTCCGGCCTCGGGGGCGCCGGGAGAGCGGCCGACAGGTGTGCCCGGCTCGGCGGCACCGGGTCCACCGCCCCCCCGGGCCCCAGCCCGCTCCAGCAGCTGCGGCGGAGCGCGGCCGCCCTCCCCCGCCGGAGCCGTGGCGAAGCCGTCCCTCTCTGCCGCTCCGAGGAGGAGGACGGGGGGAAATGACAAGGGGGTGCCGCGCTGGCGGGTTAGCTCTTCCCCCGGGGCTGCACTCGTTGAGCGGGGAATTGCCGGGGGAGCGGCAGGCACAGGGCGCCGTCGGGCGCCCGCTGCGATCGGCCGGGCTTCCCGGGCACCCAGCGGGACGCCGGTTTGCACCGTGCCTCCAGTGCCGGGGAGCCGGCGGAGCCCGTACAATCGCCCGCAGGGCTGACGGCCGGCTCTGCCAGCAGCCCCCCAGCGCCGGGCGGCCCCGCTCTGCCAGGGCAGTTCGGAGCTCCCAGCGGAGCTCGGCGTTTCCCGCCCTCCTCCTTCTCCCGCAGCCCGGACAGGGCTGTTATTCCCTATCAGGCGCCCGGGAGCCCCGGCGCGCAGCCGGCGGCGGCGTTCCGGGGCAGGTTCGCCCCGTCTGCGGGGGCCGGCTCGCCCTCTCTCCGGCGCTGCAGGGAGGTCTGCTCTGCTGTAAACAGGAGCCAGCCCGTTACATAAATATCATTTATCCAACTGTCCAAAAACCGTCGGGCTGCCTTCCTTTTCCCCGCCTCTGCTCCCCGCGCCCTTCTCCCATGGATCCTGCAGAGAGCTGAGCCGCAGCCCGCAGCGCCGTTATTTACGGCGAGCCCCGACTAATTTAAACAGCCCCTACCCCACTCGCCTGAATGGAAAATAACTAAGTTTAGCAAGGGCGGAAGGCTCCGGCAGCGCTCGCCGGGAAAGAGCCCGCAGTGGTCCCGAAGGGTGGCCGGGATGGCGGCACCCCGGTGCCGGCGGGCAGGGGACCGCCGTGCCCTGCAAGGGCAGAGGGGAAGAGGCGCCGCGCCCCGCCGCCGGGCAGGCAGCTGTAGGGGCAGCGCTGGGGAACAGCTCCGCCGCACTCAGCCCGGGGATCTATCCTGTGTGGCAGGGTAGGGCTCGAACGTCCTGCTCTCCCCCTGCCCCTGGCTGCAGCTCTGTGCCCCGCGGGAGCGGAGCTGCTGGGCAGAGCGCAATGAGCCGCCCCGCCGGGGATGCTCTTGTCCTGTGGCAGCGTCGTAAGGGCTGCGGCCGAGCGGCTCCGTACGGACGGGCTGACAGCTAGGGGTTTACGAGGAGAGACGGGGAGAACCCCGCCTGGGAGGCCGGGGACGGAGGGACACTTACAGCGGCTCCAGATGCGGGCTCAGCTGGGCGGCCTTAATCCTGCGAGAGGGGCGAAGCTGGCCCCCGCCCCGCGGCCCGGGCTGCTCTGCCGCCGTCAGAAAGTAAATCCCCCCGGCTCCCGGGGCACTCTGCGCCTTGCTGCCGGCCCGCGGCTCACGGGAAGGGCGGAGGGCGCCAACCGACTGCCTCCCATTCACCCTGGCCATTCACTTTATGGCGGGCGGCCGGCGCCCCCCGCCAGCTGCACTGAGCGCCCCGCTCCCGCCCGCCCCATTCCAGCTGCACGCCCGCCGCCGCCCGCCCCGTCCAGCACCGCCCGCCCCGGCCCCGCCCTGCGCCCCGCCCTGCGCTCCTGCGGTCCAATCGCCCTGAGCCTCATTTTCATCCCGCCGCACCCCGGCCCCAGGATTCGCAGAGGAGGGCGGTAGGCCCCGCCCCCGCCGCGTTGGCCCCGCCCCTGTCCCTTCGCACCGAGGCCTCCGCCACGATCGCGCTGGGGCAGGGTGAGGGGCCGGCGGGAGGACGGGGAACGTGTGCCCGCGGCAGGCGTCCTGCCCCATCAGCCCTGGGGCTTGTAGGGGTGTCCGTGTGTGTATATATATGTACACGTACACTTATGTTACCGCTGCCGTTACCGTTGCCTGCGTGCGCTGTTCGCTGCTTGGCGATCCGGTGTCCTGGAGCCCGTGTTGGGCATCGGCTCGGGACAGTACTGGCGCGGCAAGCATATTCGGGCTTTACAGTTAAAGTCACCAGCCAGGCAGAGGTTTCTGGGGGGAACTGAGTCCACAGTCGGCTGCTGGACGCGTTCCCCTGCACATGCCGCATGGAGCAGGAGTTGCAGGGGATGCTAATTACGGGCTAACTACCGCGCACGCTGTTGCGACTCTCGGCGGTACCAAGAAGCGCTTCTTCGGCAATATCGTCCGTGCCGCTTCTCCCGGGAACAGGAGGCTGCCGGCTCTGCGGTAAACACCGCGCTCCCGCCCGCTAACAGCTCTCGAGAAACCTAAATGGTACTTGTAGCTGAGGCTCCAGCCTGGCTCCTCCCGAGGTTCAGGATAGCAGCATCCCGGTGCAGCCGGGCAGGGCGCGATCCCTGCTTGAAGTGTCGCCGAATGCGTGCCCCCGCTGCAGCAAGGGTTAGGCGTTTGTGCACACACATTTCGCTCCGAGCAGACACGTCCCTTCTCTCCCAGAGCTCACAGGGAGAGGTTTGCAGCAGTCAGGGTTGGCCTCTCCTGCCTTGGGATGCCTGAGCCCAGGGGAGAGGTTTATCCCCGCCAGGCTCTTAGGGAGCCAGACGCGTGATTCTACGGTCTGATTTTCTTGAGGTCATTTCCATGTCAACCTGTTCTCCGATTTATGATGCCAAAGGTCACTCTCAGGCTCTTCCACTGACATGTTTTAGAGATTAGGAAACAAATTGCGAGAATAGGAGTGAATTTTAACCCTGGGTGATTTACATGCCATATTTAGGGAGCCTGCTAAATGCATAACGTGGCATATAGATATGTACAGGAAGACAAATGTACACGAACAAGCACAGGATGTTAAGAGAGGTTAAGAAGACCCAGGCATTATGGATTACAGTTCAAAACCACACACAAACACGTTGATTCAGTAGAGACAGAAGAGTTTAAAAGGAGTCACAATATTGACACACTTATGAGAAATTACCATGTTTTTTTAACGGTAGTAATCTGGGGTTTGTGTTTGCCTGTTTTTTTGCCTGCCAAAAATGACAGCAAAACAGACCGCATCTTTTTCCAGCCCAGATTTTAATCCACCCTGGCATAGGCTTGTCTCCATCAAGAGAAGCAAAGTGTAACAGCACTAGCACCTTCCATGGGACAGTCTGTCTCTGCCACCACAGGCCACAGGGAAGCTGAAAACCCTACTCAGGATGGGCAGCAATGAAGGGACCTTATTTTGAATTGCTTCCTTCTCTCTCCAAACCTTTCATCATCAGTAGCCTGCAGCAAATACAGGTAGTGCTTATGCTTTCAAGTAATAACGAAACAAAGGTGGTTTTAGCTATCTCCCTTGGGCACTATGTCACAAGCTTGTTCCGTGTGGAGCACGGTGTGAAGACTGATGGATTAGACCATCCAGGGACCTGCACGAGGAGCCTTTCATTAAGGCAACCTCAGCACAACTGCTGGACTTACCCCTGAAGGGTGTCTTTGGGAGGGAGTGCTCCAGAGTGTCTTGTTGAAATGTAGTAGCAGATCTTGCTGCTATCAAGAACTTCACCTGGGTTCAGGAAACAGATATTATAATTTCATATGAAATAAAAAATAGAGGGGAGGGGGGAAGCAAAAGCAAACTAAACCCAGAGTGAACCTGACTCACATCTTGGCAGATGGGATATTCAAAAGGAGGGAATTACTCAGCATCTTTGACATTCTGCATTTTTCACCAGCCAGGAAGTTTGTTCTCAAAGAAATTCCCGTCTCTGTCACAGGCAGATGCACTCCTCATGCTGGATGTGTTCACTGCCCTTGGAGATCACTGGAGTTGTTGATTGTTGATCATGGTTTCCATCTTTGTGTCCTAACTGATCTTCTGGCCATGCTGGGTCCATGCCATCAGATGCCTTCAAGATCAGGACTCAGGCGTGAATTTGTCTTGGCTTCCAAGCCAGAAGGTGGCCTAGGGAGCAGAAGGTAGGTTTGATGCCTTTGTAGTAGCCAGGGCTCTCACTGCAGCATGCCCTTCTATTTGGTATTTGCCAAGTGCTGTGGGCTTCATGCCTAGGTGTATCACATAGCTGTAGTCCAGCCAAGAGGTGACAAAGGTATGCCTGAGCCTGGGGTGCTTCTTCCAAAAAAAACCACGGCTTGGCTTGGCTAAGGAGAGACAATGGAAAAAATTGTATCAGGATGTTCATCAGGAGAGTTCTGTGTCACTGGGAAGTGCAGGAGTGTTCCTGAGAAATGGGCTAAACAGAGCAGCTGGAAGGGCATTTTAGCCTAAGGAGGCTGCTCTGCACCCTCAATATTGTACTTTGCATCGTTTCCAGAGAAGGGTTTTCATATTCTTTTAGGTTCTTGCCCTGGTGCATGTTGCACCAGATGCAGCACATCAGTTTTCCATTGGAGAGCCTTCAGCTGGCTTTGGGCTAGCCTCTATCTGAGCTTGCTTTGGAAAGAAGCAGCTGGTTAGAACCACTGTGTTCAGCATTCAGCAGCGTTTTTGGGATGCTCAGCTCTGGGGAGAGTGGCTGCAAGTAGTTTTTAGCCATGGCAATTACTTCTGAGTCAACTCCCTCTTTCTTCTCTTTTTCTGGAAACCTTACTAATCCTCTGAGAAACAGCAAAAGCCTCTAAGAGGAGGGCATGAAATTCAACCTCTCTCAGGCTCTTTAACCTGGTAGGAAATTTGTGTGTTGCATGTGGCCATGGGTCTGATATCTATGGACAACCGTGAACTGGCAGGGGCTGAGCAAGAGTGATGGACCGTGCAAAGTTGATGCAGGTTGCAGAGGCAGAGGTGGTTTGCAACATGGTTTTGTGACAGTCTCATCAAAGGCTTGTGGGGAGCAGGCTTTTACTCTGGCATCCTGGACCCAAATGAAGGCAGTTGATGTGGCACATGAGACAGTGCTCTTTGCAAGGAGGTGGCTGCTTGGGTGTCTCAGACAAAAGCGGGTGAGCTCACTGGGTTAGATGGGCAAGGCCTGAGGAGATGACTGTCTGAGTCTGCAGCCCCTCTGTGTGCTCCTTGTTGGCTGAGGAGGAATAAACAAGACAGAAACCCTGCTGAAAAGCTGCATCTTTGCAGTGAGGATAATGCCCAGCTTCCCTGACCAGGCAGCTGGAACCTGAGAGATTTGCACAGATTGTGCTTGTCTGGTGTCCGGTTTCATTGTACCACTTTGTATGTGACAACTAGTGTGTTATCTCAGGAATAAAGGGACTGTCCTGTGTCCTGCTCCTACAACTGGGTCCTTTGGTGCAAATAAGTGCTCCAACGTGCCCACACATGGTCTGTACACAGCTGTGCACCACTCTGGCAAAGTGCCGCTGGATCAGGCGGCCCAAGCAACCCAGGTTTTCCTGTTGCTGCCAGGGTGGAGGCATTGGTGCTGCACTGTCACATCAGCAGGATTTTCTGTGTGGCCAGGGCGGTGCTGGGCTGCCCAAGAGCTGACTAACACAGTGCCTGCAAACTCTTTTCTCTCCAGGCAGCATGAGGCTGTACCATATTGTTTTTCTCTCCAGACAATGCAATGCTGGGTTGTAAGTAAAAATGCAAAGCACATTGCAATGTTTGCTCTTTATTAATGCACTAAGATGCATTTGGGTGAAGCAGAAGGCTCCTGGCTGGCTCGGTTTCAAGCTTCGTGACAGGCTTCCATAAATAACACCTTAGGAGGGTTTGATTCACCAGATTGGAAAGGGTGGGAACCTGAGCTTCAGTGGCTGACACTGAGAGGCAGGAAGGCAGGGAGAGGGCTACAGACCCTTCCCTGAGAGGGCAGGCAGGCTTGGCTGACCTGGACTGAGCTGCACTATGTGCAGTGGCCAAGCCAGCACCTGAAACCCCCTTTCCTGTGCAGGAATTCACACCTGTGAATTTCCAAATGGCTGGCAGATACCACAGGAGCTTCAGTGGCTGCTGGAGCAGGGAGGAAGAGACGGAGAAACAATAGCAACTAATGTGCTTGTTCTGCAAACCTTTGCTCAGTGTTTAGATGATGGCTTTTGCAGTCTCTCTGCACTAGGTATTTGACCACCTGTTTTATAGCTGAGGAAATCAAGATAAAAATTGCATGCTCCATGGCTGCAGGAGAGGCTGGGGTGATACATTTTAGCTTCCGAGCTCATGGTTAGACCACTGGAACATGCTGTATCTTGTTCCACTGTTGGAGAATAAATGTGGGTGCTTAATGCAATTGCAGCTTAAAATTCCAACTCCAAAGACTTCTTAACATGCCATCAGGTAAAGCCCAGCTGAAGCAGGTCCCCTGGTCTCCAGCTGTCAGAGCTGGGAGGTAACAGCAGTTTCAGTCTGAAGTACATTGATTCTTGATCAGGCAATTTTGGGCAGCTATTCATGTGGAAAGGGAAGGATATTGGGGGCTGGAGCACCTCCTGTAAGAAGACAGGCTGAGAAAGTTGGGGCTGTTCAGCCTGGAGAAGAGAAGGCTGCATGGAGACCTCATAGCAGGCTTCCAGTATCTGAAGGGGGCCTATAGGGATGCTGGGGAGGGACTCTTCATTAGGGACTGTAGTGATAGGACAAGATGTAACAGATCCA